CAGCCACAAAATTACACAATTGCCTGTAATCATCTAGACAAACATCCCCTCAGGAAAAGACCCCTCAGCCTGAGAGAGAGCTGAGTCTAGTAAAATGAAGATGGCCTTCATGAAGACGGTTTTCTAGGGAACAACCACTACAAGCTTGGGAAGAGCTCCCACCCGTGTTGGGCTCCCTCCAGTGATTCCCAGGCTGCTGGTTTTCCAGGTAACTTGTCGAGCTGGAGATGGGATGGAACAGGAGAGTTAGGAACATCATAGTATGCTGTTCTTACTGAGATTCGGCCAGCTTACTTGAGTAAAACACACAGCTTGCTCCAGGCCTTTGGTTAGTTCCCACACTTCTGAAAAAAGTTGCCTTTGAGAATTTTTGCCAGTTTTCTCATTACTCTTTAGAAAGCAAATCTTTACAATAGTGCTTTTTCACTGACACAATGGGTCCCCCATTTTCATGGACATCACACTTTTTTTTAAGCACATGAATTTAGCATCCAATTTTAATATAAATTTAAGGTTAGAAACTTTCTGGTAGTACATTTATTTTGAAAGACTATCTTCTGAGTTAGGTAAAGATACAATTAATTCTAGGATCCTTCAAATACGACTTATTTTTATATAAAAACACCATCAATCCAGAGCTCCCTGATTTCTTACTTTCTCTCTCAGGTTTTGGTCCTTGTGCTATATTTTATAATGTGGAAGAAGAATTCAGCCCCTGGTGGATTTTGGATACGCTTTTCAAGAACAATGCGGAGCTCCAGGCACAGGGAGCAGCTGGGCCCTCCCTGCAGGCCAGTTAGTGGCAGCCTGCTGTATGTGATGTCGTGAGTCGGCGGCCCCTGACCCTCCCTCTCTTCAGTACTGAAAAGCAAACAAGTGAGCTATGTGTTTTCAGAAGGAGGTAGTGAAATAATGGAGCTTTTAATAGTACATTCGGTAAAGCATGAATATTTTCAGGCAAGTTTGGGGTTTTTTGTTTTTTGTTTTTTAAGGCTCTATAAGCCATTAGGAAGTTCTCAGTTGTAACAAAAACTTCTCTAATTACCAACTTACCTCTTCTATTGGGGTTAAAGTCTTCCACAGATGTAAAATTTTAAAATGAAGATTGGTTAGTTTGCTGTGGGAGTTGCAGATACATCCACAGACTGGCAAAATCTGCTGTGAACTGTGATTTCTAGAAAGATCAGCTCCATCTGTGGAACCAATGGTGAGAGGCCCTGACTTGGTGGCTGTCTTGTCAGCCTCTGCTTTCTGTCCTGATCACACTGCCTCCATGGTGATAGCTGAACCTGAATAAGCTCTAGAAGAAAGTGTCCTCAATAAAATCATTACTGTGAATGTAGAATGTAAAATAGTACTCAGAAAAGCCAGGGACAGGGGCACCTGGGTGGCTCAGTCTTTTAAGCGCCTGCCTTCAGCTCAGGTCATGATCCCGGGTTCCGGGGTTGGAGGCCCACATCTCCAGCTCCCTGCTGGGCGGGGAGCCTGCTTCTGTCTCAGCCCCTCCCTCCGACTCTGTTCTCTCTCTTATGCGTGTGCTCTCTCTCTCAAATAAACTAAAATCTTAAAAAAAAGCCAGGGACAGTTTTCCTGTTTGAGGTAATGGCAGCCAATTTTTGTACCACGTCCACTGAAGACAACTGAAAGAGGTAGGTACTTCTTAAACATTAGAGATGGTACAGAGCATGTGCTCAGCACAGGTCTCTGGCCCCTTTCCAGTGACAGCTCCCCAGTTGTCATCAGTAGGAGCTTTGCCATCATGGGATTTCTCACCCCTCCCTTGGATAACTTGTCATCACCCTGGAAGAGCACGGCCCGGTCCCCTCCTTCCCACTTGGTCCCTCTCCTCCTTACCCACTTGACAGTGAGATGTCTGGACCGAATGGCTGGAATCCCAGCCCAGATCTCTGCTCTCTAGTCCTGGCTCAGGCCCTGATGAGCCCCATCACTAGACCTCCATGGGTCTATTCCAGAAATTCAGGCGGTATATTCAGTGTGTCTGTTACAACTCAAAATTTATTGAATCTGAATTAACTTGAGTCTTCCTCTGCAGCATTTCATTCTCTGTGCTCTCAGTGGCCTAGCATTAAAAGGTATGTTTTTGTCTTTCTCTGTAGGATCTAAGTCAGAGAAGCATGCATAGAGATGGAAACGAGGGATCCTTTTCATTCCCTCAATCTTCAAAACTCTTGAACAGAGACTTCCTTAAGGAATAAGAAAGTAAGAATAAGCTCTGAACGTTATTAGTCTGAACATGGTTAATAAGAGGAAAAAACGGCATTAGTCCTAACTGAAGGAGGAAGCTAGGAAAGAAGCGGGAGGTGTAAGTACTGCTCTCCGGTGAAGGCCCCAGGGTGTCTCACCCGCAGGAGCGGCCTTCCCGGAGTGCACGGCGGGCGGCGGGCCAGGCAAGAGGCAGAGACGGTCTAGACGCTGTGCACTGTGTGGCAACAGGCTCGCTGCACGCCTCCTGCAAAGGTCTTGTTAGTGTCGCTTAGAAGCCCTGCTTTTATGAGAGGATTTCAAAAACTCAACAAGCCAGTGTCTAATTTATGAAGCCATGTGCTCTCAAGGGTCAAACATGAATAATTACAGTTCCAGGATCAGGGACAGATGTCCGGGACTGCCTGCATTTCCAGTCATGACGTGAAAGCTCTAGGACCTGACTATGCCAAGTCCTATCCAAAATGTGAGTCGAATATAAAGCAGCCGGAAATATCTTCTATAATCTTCATCTTATGTGTGATTTTAAAAGGTACTAACCTATATGCCTCACTGATGTGTCTACCAAGCCATCTCAAAACTCGGTGGCTTCTAACAACCACTTCTTCTCACTCACGAGTATAATTTGGCTGGAGTTTGGTCCAAGCTGCGCTTGGCCTGGGTGGTCCCAAAGCTGAGTCATGAAAATGTACAATTTACAGGAAGAACAGGGTGGAGGGACATTTTGAAGGATACTCTGATGATGCTGTTCAACATAACGCAGCGGGTAGAAATGCTACCGGACAGACAACTCAGATTCTTCAGCAGATAAATGGCCAGAGGAAAAAGCGAGAGGGAGGGAGAAGCTACAGGTCAAAAGAGACTTCAGGTACATGCCAGCCAGTCAGTGAATCAAATGTGGACCTCATCTGGATCCCAGTTCAGACAAACTCTAAAAATAAATGTCATGGCATTTAGGAGACAAATGGAAATTGGAACCCTGGATTTTCCAAAATATATAATACTAAATTACTTAGTTTAAATTTTATATTACATAAAATATATTTTTAGGGTGATAAAGTTATGGTTATGTGTATCGTATTTATGAACCAAATCTACAGAAGAACGGATATCTATTATTTCCTTCTAATTAATACAGAATTGGAGAAGTAGGTGGAGGTACAGATAAAACAAGATTTGCCAGGAATTGAAAATCCATGGCGGCCAGCTGGGGAGGGGGGAGGTCATGATTCTTTCATCCACTTATTTAACCAGCATTATTGAATTATAGTTGCTGCACAATAAACTGCACGTTTAAGGTGTACGATTCGTCTACTTTTAATATATTTAAATTTTCCTATAGAAGTTTGAAGACAAAGTCTTTAGAATTGTGATCAGTCTGGCTTTTCTAAAAGGGCAGACCTGTATCCATTTAGAACATAATGAAATAAGCATATGATCATCATATCCTTTTGTCCTGGAAATGTGAAAGAAATCTACTTATAAGTCTAAGAAGAGATTTAAGGGTCAGGTCCCATGCTGTAACATCACTGAGCTTTATATAAAATATTGATATTTGGCAACTTTGCTAAACTCAGGAATTCCAGTAATTCCACTGTAGATTATCCATAGTCCCAGGGGTCAGCAAACCAGGGCCTATATGTTTAATCCAACCCATAGCCTGTTTTTTGCAGGGTCAACAAGCTAAGAGTAGATCTTGAATTTTTGTAATTGGCTGTAAATATATACATAATACACATATTCTGTAGAAACAGTATGTGGACTGAAGATACTTATTAGCTGGCCCTTTACAGAAAAGGTTTGCTGACCCTGGCTTACATAAACAATGTTATCATCCGCAAATAGTGCCCTTTTCTTGCATTCTAAATGTGCATGTTTTATTCCCTTGCTTTCCCACATTGGCTAAAGCCTCTAGTACAATGCTGAGAAATGGTGGTAGCTGGATTTTTTATTGTTCTCCCCTATTAGAGAAGAAGCTTTTAACATTTTTTTTTAAAGATTTTATTTATTTATTTGACAGAGAGAGACACAGCAAGAGAGGGAACACAAGCAGGGGGAGTGGGAGAGAGAGAAGCGGGCTTCCCGCCGAGCAGGGAGCCCGATGCGGGACTCCATCCCAGGGCCCTGGGCTCATGACCTGAGCCAAAGGCGGATGCTTAAAGACTGAGCCACCCAGGCCGCCCTGCTGTTTTAACATTTTATAATCATGATGTTTTAGGTATTTTTGTAGCCTTCCTTTATCAGAACACACAAAAATTCCATTCTTTTCTACTTTTCTAGAAATTTTAATCATAAATTTGTGGGGGGAAAACAGACAATCCAGAAATCTAACTTGAAATGATCCCAGCAATTCATTGGCACAGAAGCAGGGCATTCGTAGAGTGGATTCTCTTAGGAAGTTCCTAAGACAACATCCTTGACAATTTCCTTATTCTAGTACCATTCCCGTATTTTTCACTTTTAGTCCATGTTACTGTTTTACACTGTCACTCAGTAGCCTCTTCTTTTGCTACAGCTAAAATCTGTATAAGTAGATTCTTCAAAATTAAGAAGGACCCTTTCTTTTTTTAAAGATTTTATTTATTTATTTGAGAGAGAGAGAGAAACAGCATGAGAGGGGATAGGGTCAGAGGGAGAAGCAGACTCCCCGCCGAGCCGGGAGCCTGATGTGGGACTAGATCCCAGGACTCCGGGATCATGACCTGAGCTGAAGGCAGTCGCCCAACCAACTGAGCCACCCAGGCGCCCTAAGAAGGACCCTTTCAAGCTCAGTTTCAAAAAGCATGTGACCAAAGTGTAGTATTGACAGATTTGCAGTAGAAAGAACAAGGGGGAAATCCATTTGTTTACAAATTTATTCACGTAAAGTTTGTTAAACAATTGAGACTTTTTGGAAGCCAACACAGCTACTTTTAAGTTTTCATATTACTCTTTGTAGATATTTAGATTAAACAGATAATCTTAAATAGGTTATTTTAGAAAGCTGCTGTAATATTAAATTATGTTTATCTAGGCATACAAGTCGTTTTTATGCACTACCTTCTCGATCTCACAAGTCTTTTATTGACAATACAGTTTCCAACACTGCTCAAAAGACACTAATGTTTCGAAAGGCATTCTGTTTAATTTAATCCCATTTTAGTATTCCTTTGAAAATTTTGACTGATGACTCTGGAAATTCAGCCAAGAGTGTTGTGTCAAAAACTTGCTTGAATTTATCTAAGAATTCGTAATCGGTGCTGAACCTGAATTTGTTTGCCCAAAGCAACACCGTCCCTGGCTGACAAAGGTACGCCATGGTGGTGAGCAGCTTGTCCAGGAAGTAGTGGTGGTAGACCACGTCCGAGGCCAGAACATAGTCGTAATAAAACGTCGACTTGGGGAAGTGTTGCTCCAGGCTCTCTCCCCAAACCAGCTCTCTCACTTCCGGCAGATATGCTGCACGTTTTAATGTGTTCTTCAAAAGATTGTATTGAAGGTTTCCTAGGACATCAGGCAAATCCGTTGCTGTGACTTGAGCTCCTAAGAGATAAAAGAGAAAAATTTTAACAATTACCTGGAAACATGCAGGCAGCCACAGTGGACATAGACACTCAGGGAGACACAAGAAATGGAACTGGGCTTCTCAGCTTTGTCCACATTTGCGCGTGGACTGGACATACTTGACCCAATCCCGCTGGATAATTTCCCATGGGGAGCTCTGCCCTGTGCACTGTCCACTGTTTCACAGCGTCCCAGGTCTCTACCCCCGGACTCCACCCCCAGCTCCTGGCGATCAAAAATGTCTCTAGAAGTGGCCAAGTGTCCTTTATGGGGCAAAATCACCTTTGGTTGAGAACCACTGAAATAGAATAATGGTATCATTTTTTAAGAAATAGTTGTGTGGTGTTGGGAGATTTCAGGATAATTAGCTGCTTAATCATGTTTTCCTTCTAAAACTCTTATCTGAAGATTTGATCTATTTTGTACGACTGCCTGCCTCCAACCTAAATTTTTAAATTAATCATTAGGCGTTTTAAAGCTAGTGACAAGAGTTCACAAAGTGGACCACCCCATTTCCAGACTGGATTTAATAGAAGAAGCTCTGTAATGGTGTAGTCAGAAGTACGCCACATCTGTACCCACCTCTTGCTCAGTGCCCGGAACTCACAACCTGCATTTGGTGTATAAACCTGTCTCCACCTTGGATTAACTCACTTACTTTTCTTCAGAATGTTACAATATTCGCAACGAAAAGCAGGAGACAGCGTAACGTAGCCGTTTACAACAGGAGAGTCACAGCTCCAGAATTACAGCTTCATCACACGGTCCTCGGTGGGCCAGGCAGGTCCCCTAACCTCTCTCTCACCTGCGATTATCTTATTTCTGGGCCAACAGTACTAATTCCTAGCTCATGATATTTTGGGAGATTCAGTGAGTGAAATCATGGCCAAGCACCTGAGTCACAGCTGGCCAGAGAGAAAGCGCTCCCTATCATTGCTGTCAAAGTGTTTTGGAAACAAAGTCAGGAATAAGCAGACAAACCTAAAATACTGGCCACAATGGAGACAAGGCCTGGTCCAGCACCAATCTCAAGTATCTTGGCATCTTGGAGATTCAGTTCCTCTGTATGTTCCTCCAAATACTGACACAAAGCCGTAGCCTAAAAAAACATTTGCAGGCGTCACCCGAGCATTGGAACATTGGAAAACAGTGGTGGCCCGACCTCCCTTCCCTACCCCAAGGGAAATACTACAAGAGATGTTATTAATAGTTGCAGTTTATCGAGGGGCTCCGAAGAATCAAAATATGCACTGAATGCCCTATTTGGACCTCTGGAGTATGAAAGGTATGACACGCATCAGAGGAACTGGAGACAGACTTGCTAAATCGCCTCTATCCTCTATCTATCTGAAGACTCTGGGTCAGTGTCCGGGAAGAGGAAGGTCCCCTCGGCTCTTACAAGTCCGGGAAGGAGGCCTGAAACCAGCGACCTCTTGCTCTGGTTTGGTCCCGCCGGCCGCCACCTGCTTCAAGAGCATTGCTGTACGTCTTCCCCACTTCCCTCCTGACTCCTTTCTCGAAGTTCGGGTGGGTTAGAACTTTGTCTGCTCCCCTGGACGGCTGGGCAGTTTATTTTTTTAAGCGGTCATCTAAGAAACAGACTGTCAATACCGTGCTTCTAAGGGGCGCACACTCTGGGGCGGTCGGGGGTGGGGGTCTCCAGACTGCGTTTCTGCAGGGCACCGGGCGAGGGCGGTGCTGCTGGTCCGTGGACCACACTTTGCGGAGCGGCGAGGAGATGCTAAAAAGCATGTGAATGAATTGGGATAACTTTGTAGACAGAAGCTCAAACGTTCCTTTCCTTCTCCCTTCATTCGCTTCTGCCTCCACCTTCTCCTGACCTTTCCACGGAGAGATCAAGGGTATCGGATTTGCACTGACTGATGAGGCGTTCGCCTTTATGCCAGTGGGGTCTCAGCAGCGCCGCGGATGTGAGAGATCGGGAGGGTTCGGCACGAGGACGTGAATCCTGAGATGACAAAGCAAACCGAGCTCTAGTCTGTGTGCACTCTCAGCTCTTCTCTTCCTGTGGCTGCTCAGAACTTGATGGGACGCCACGTTTTGGGGGGAGGGGCTGCTGTCGCCCCCCGCCCCGCCCCGCCCCGCCCCGCCCCGCCCTGTGTTCATAGTGAAGAGGCCACACGCCCGGACGAACGTGCGGTCACGGCTCCTCTCCAGGGGACGCAGGCTGGGCTGGGAAGGGGCCTGTGCGCCGACTCAGACGGGCGAGCGGCGTCAACGGGGCACACGCTGGGGGCGCGGGGGTGCCCCAGGCGCTGAAGGATGGGGAGTGTCCAGCCCCCCGAGTGTCCAGCGGAGGGCGGCGGGTGAAACGGCCACGCACGGCGCATTGCCAAGAGCTCTGGCGCTGGGGAGGGAGCTTCTGGATGAAGAGGAAGGACAGTGACTTGTGATGGCAGGGGTTTCCCTGTGAGGAAGAGTGTCACCTAGAGCCACCAAAGAGACGTGCTTTGAGGGGTTTTCCAAGCGTCCCTCAGTGCCCTGGCGGGTGAGCAGCCTGGCGACCAAGCTTTTCTCAGGAAGCCCGGCACTGCGCCACCCCCAGCTTCCCAGCCCCGTCAGCAAACGCGCAAGAGTGAGCTCCTTCACCGACAGCGGCCCTTGGAGTCCCACGAGGAAGCGTGTTTTCGCACGTATGTAAACCCTTCCTTGGCAGCTTTCGGGAAATGGGGGTGCCAGGAGAAGCCAGGGTTTGGTGCGCGGAAGGTTGAGGCCTTGGAATAAAAGGGTCCTGCGGACAAATACTCTTCCATTCCTGATCTCCTGGTAGCCCTGCTTATGGTTGTCCATTTGCCAAATTTATTACAATAAATTTGTAACATTTATTAACCTGGGGAGCAGGTTGGTGGTTTTCAAACTTGTTATTAAGCCAGAGAAGAGGATTTCCCTATGAAGGAAATCATACTTAACATGCATGGGGGGAAACACTGAGCTTCCTTAGCTAGGGGATGGGGGTGGGCAGCTCTAGGAGCCTGGAGCCCTTTGTCTGCCCCTCCCCTTGTCCAGCCTCCTTGTCCCCCGTCACCTGCCACTGGTACCCAGGCCCCCGCCCCAGGGAGCTCCATGGCACCTCCACCCCTGATGCTCAGCTGCAGTCCCTGGAGCAGGCGCCTGCCCCCCTCACCCCCCCCCAGGAGTGGCGGCACCTCTGAGTCCCAGGTCTGCATTGGAAGACAAACCCCAGGCCATTCCCCGCCAGCGACAGAGCAGCTTGGAGCCCAGGCCTCTCAAAGAACAACCCAGCGGGCATCGGAGGGCCAATGTCCCAAAGCCGGTGGCACAGCTCTCCCAAATGAGTCGACTTTTTGAGCCCCCACCTCCCCAACTGGCAGGTGCAAACAGTGGCGCGTTGGTAATCCCAGGTGGCAGGCGTGACACGCAGCTTCCACAAGTGCTCACACCGCCCAACCTCCCCAGTGCAGGGGGTGGGGGGGGAAGGTGGGGGAGGCGAAGCAAACAGCCAGGAACTAGCAGATTGGCTCGCAATTCAGAGCGTCTCCCACATTCCCATGCCCCCCTCGCATGGGGGGCTGCAGGGAGGAGAGGGGGGCGGCTTCCTACCCGCTTCTGCGGGAACACCCACGGCGTGGAAGGGAAGCGAGCACCCGGCTCCGATTGTTTTTTTCCTCAAAATTCGTATGATTTTTTCATCTTACTTCCTGATATATTCAAGCTGAGCTGATGTAAAAAATAATGTTTCAGGAAACATGGCACAGAGGGAAATGATGCTTCTGGGAGAGATGCTGGGCTTTTGCGGAGCCAAGCGCACCCCCGGCCCCGGGCCAACACATGGTCCTCCCCTGCAGAAGCACAGAAGGTGAACGCACTCGGCGACCTGTCCACGGTGCAACTGTCGCCCCCAGCAGCCCCGACATCCCGAGGGTAATGGCTGTCTCACCCCGGGCCACACCACCGCTCCATAGCTCTCTATGGATTCTTGGATGACGATCTTTGTGCCGGCAAACAGGTAATGCTCCTGCGTGTAGCTGGCGTAATCTGTAGGGACAAATCTCTGGAGGCTATGCAGAGATGGTTCTATCTTGTTAGAATCTGTGGGGGCAGAAAATAAAATAGGTTCCGTGAGTTGTTGCTGCCGAACAAGCACACACTAGGCCGCTGGTAAATGGGAGCGGACCGGGCGGTTTTCCCCCAGAGGGGCTGACGCCAGCAGTGACCGCCGCGAGCTGGCACAACGCCGAGTGACACGGGGCGCTGGGGACGCGGAGTTCAGCCGCGGTGTTTCCGTGAGATGCCCAAGCGCCCGGCGATGCCCTGGGTCCGTTCCGCGACGTAGCCGAGGACAGCTCTCTCCCCAGCCTCTGTTCTGGTGGCCGGAGAAAGCCAGCTTACCGCAGAACGGCAAGATGAGGACCTAGGCACACACGGACCTGGCTATTTTTAGGACTTGAGGCGAAGCAACATCCCCGCATGTTGGCTGGAGCATGTTCCTTAAACCCTTCCTGCAGCTGCTCCTCAAAAGGTACCGGTCACCCAAAGACGAGCTCGCTCCACAGCCCGGGGAGGCGGCCAGATGAGCTCAGCCTATTAAGTTACAACGGCTTTAAATACCCTTTAAACTCGTGAGCCGCTCTCATAGGTCATATAAAATGAGCAGGAAAGAGCACCCGACCGGGGCTGACATCATAGAAGCACAGACTGTGCCGATCCTGCTGAGTCTCCAGGATAACACGAGCAGCGTGGGGAAATGTCAGGGGTGGGGACGCCGAGCGCACTCGCACTAGGGGTCGCCCGCAGAAGAGAGGCGGCGGGTACCGGCGGTGGGGGGGGATCAGCGGCGAGGAGCTGCCGGGGAGCCGGCGTGAAACCTGCCCCTGCTCCCCGAGATCCGCCCGGGACCTTCCTAACCGCAGGTGGAATGTGGGCTTCGGAAAAGAGCTGCAACGAGTGGGCCGTTAACCTTGGGGGTGCTCTAATCAGGAACGTCCCCTCGAGGCGTTAGAGGAGGCGGGGGCGGGGCGCGAATCCAGGGTGGAGGGTGGAGGGTGGAGGGCGTTTGGAGAAACCCACTCGGGAGCGCGCCCCTCAGAGGCAGGCGACGCCGGGGGTCACCGACGAGCACCCGCACCAGAGCCGTCCGTACTGCTAGTCTGCAAACCCGAACGCGCTCACGGAAGAGCTCAGGCATTGGGAGTCAGCTCTTAGAAATGTTTCCAGCAACGTGACCACGTCCCCTTATCCAAACACAGGGCTTGGGTTTTATCTTCGCATGTATTTTCACTGTGTTTTTCTAGAAATGAATTTTTGTTCTATTTTACCCAAAAAGTGTCCGTGTGCAGCAGATTGAGAAATGGTCTTTGAGCACAGTGACTGGGTTGTCAAGGAGCATGAGGGATGTCCACAGCTCTCCAGGGTGCTACTCTTGCCCCCTCCCCACCGCCTCCCTCCCCCGCCCCCGGGTCTGACGTAGCCTGAGTTCCACCCCCCGGGGGGGAGAATTCTGTGCCCTGACCTGCAAGGGGAGCTTCCAGAGACCTGGGACTTCACTGAGCTTGCAGGAACCTGCTAATAAATAGTGACCAAGGCGAGAAACATCGTCCTGGTAGGGGCTGTGGGGAGGCAGGAGGGGCGGGAGGGAGACATGGCCTGCACCCACCACTTAGGGGAAGCTCCTAACATCCAACACCACCAGCTCATTTTCTGTGAATGACCAAAGAGGCCCTAGCCTCTCCCCTCGAGCTGAGAGGCTGATGGAACTGTTGGAGAGATGATAAAAAGGTGTGCTGGGACATGTTCAACCATCAGCTTGGGGCGAGGGGAGGAAGCACTGATCTGTAGGGTTTGATGGTCACCACGGTGGGAATGCTCCCACACTCTCCGCAGACGTCCCCAGGAAAGGACGTGCGCTGCCCACTGAGACGGGTGCTTTCCACCAGGCAGGGCAACAGACACCAGGAAGCTGAAGAGCATAGGTACTCATAAAGATAATCTCAAAATGTAGTAAAGTAAGTCATGATGCGTTGTGAGTATTCATTACCTTGGTTTTTTAATATATCTTTGGCTTTTATATCATCTATTTAGTGGTAAGTTTTCATAACTCAATTTCAATAATGGCCATGTTTAACAATAACCCTCAAAAAAAATCCCTGAAATTCAGGGGCTGGTACAGGCCGGTTGGGGCAAGGAGTCAATACAGGGCTGCCCCCTTTTCCTCTGAGGTTTCGTCCCTGGGGTAGGTGACTGGGGGCAGCCAGACCAGCCAGGACCCATGCCAGCCCCTGCAGACTTCCCTCCCCACTGTGGCTCAGGCAGGTCCTTCTTCCCTTCCTCCCATGTCTCACCAGCTGGGGACCTATTTTTCTCTCAAGACGGTAGAAAAAGTCAATGGGCTGAATTGGAACAGCTCATCATTTCACAGGCGAACGAGCTGATAGATATGTTTTCCCAACCAACATCGTAAAGAAACGCGGGCACATAAATATTCTCCCATAAGACCCTTCTATTTCGACAAAGATAAAGAAATGTATGCTTATTGCACACTAAATGTTTTCATTTATTGTATCGATGCTAGTCTGAGAGTTTAGAGAGATCAGATTTTAGAGGCAGAATTGCCTTTTTACGTAAACTAGTTTAGTAAAAATAAATAGCATCCCGTCCTAGTTGAGTTGGAACATAATTTTACCATGTTAAATGATTATAAATGTTTGAAATGCCATACCTCGGCTTTTCTGACATTACCTGTTAGGTCTATTATTTATTACTACCGAGTCCCTGTCCAGAAATGCAACCCACGTGTGACCCAGCTGTGCCAGGAGAACATGTTGGCGAAAAGCAGACACGAATCAAGATTTTGTTTCTTTTTAAAAAGTTCTTGTGATAAAAATATGACCATTTGAGATTTATACACAGCACAAGACAAATTTAGATAAGTAAAGAATGAAAAAATAGAGGTTACTTTTAATGCTATGCTCACGCTTGCCTAAAGGCACTTTCCTACTAAGCTTCACTAATAGGAACAATCTAGAATTAGAAGGGGATGGGAATTCTTGTCACTGAAGTTAACTGGGAAATGCCGTGGCCAGGAAAGCAACTGACACGGTGTGGCGGTGAGGAAGGAGGTTACCTCCTGGGGGTCCGCCGGTGCCATCCTCCTGGAGAGACCCCGCCGCCGCCGCCGCCGGCTCTAAGCAGCCATCTGGGGTGCACGGTGCTTCCCGCAGCTCGGAGCTCAGACACACGTCCATAACCGCAGCCACTGGAGAGCAGAGAACCAGACAGGCCCCACGAGCTCAGCCCAGGCTGGCTGAGCCTCCTGGAGGCTCTAAAAGGTGCAGCTTATCGCCTTAGCATCTGCTGAGCCGAAAAGAACCCCTGCTTTTCAGCTTCGTTTCCCCCAGTGAGCAAAGCAGCTACCCAAGGAGCTGCCCTCCTAGTTTTGCAAAGCAAAGGAGAAGGGGGGACCATTAACCATCACCGCGCCTGTTCTCTGCATCAAGAAATGCAAAAACAGAGCAAGTGTCGCCGGAGGACAGGCACAATGTGGCTGGGGTCTAAAATGTCTTTCTAATAGCTTTTGGAAATGAACCTTAATGAAGAAACTCTGAGCCAGCAGCACATCCTACCATCGGGGGCACCATGTGGATGGAGGGGTTAATGATATCGTGGATGAGAAGGCAGCATTTGGACCAAACACAGGGCTGCTCCCTTCTCTTCTGAGACTTTATTGCAAGATCGTAGAAAGTGCTGGGGACTGAGCCAGGAGCCTGACCGGGCACCTGGCAACTCACATAATCCCCTCCCGCGCCACTTCCTCATCAGCATAAAGGGGATAATATAGTATCTGCTGACTTCCCAGGGCCACAGTGGGAAACAGGAGAGTGAAAGTGATAAGTACGGAGAAGAAAACCACCTGATTTAGAAAAGGAGACCTGGCTGTGGGGATCACTGGTCGGCATCAAAATAGTAACACAGGACATCACCGCAGGGCGTGTACCGTGGCCAAACCCTGTTCTGCTGCTTTACGTCTATCGATTCATCTAGTCCTAGCAATCGCTCCTATGAAGTAGATGCTATTATTATGCCTCTTCTCAGATGCGAGCAATCCAGGCGCAGAGAGCTCGAAAAGCAGCCCAAGAGCAGAGGCGGAGTCAAGCCCAGGAGGTCCAGCTGCAGAATCTACGCTTTTAACTGCCCGGCAGGTACCCCTTGGGTGGGCTTGTTCAGCCTTGGGTTCCGTTGCCTACTTTGCCCTGAAATTACCACAGTGATGTTTCCGAGTCTTTTATTTGTTTATTTATTTATTTTACAAAAAGCTGTTTACCACCCTGAGTTAGTCTCCACCACTCCAAGTCTCCGAGTTGCCCAATCCCATCGTTCCAGCCAGCCGGGGATAGCAACCAGACTCGCCAGCCATACACCATCACTGCCTAGCTGACCAAGAGCCATTCGGGCACTGGCTTACTCCAGTGAGCAAACAGACAAAATGCAAGAAAGCACATCCCCTGAAGCAAATGTCATTCCACTGCACACCTGGGCAGGTCGCTTGTCCCTCACGTTAATGCGCACCAGGATTGCAAACAAATGAGATCTCTGTGAAAGCAATTTAACATTTTCATTGGCTCTAGAATTGAATAACCAAATATTTGTCCCACTCCTCCAACTCACCAAACCAGCCCGAGTGCCCTGGGGGTCTGTGCTTCACGCCGGAAGTTCTTTCTCTTGCAGATACTTCCTCCTGCATTCCTTTCAAGTTTCCCCAACTCCAGGAAGTTAATTATTCCCCTAAACTGAGGGCAGCCTGGTTGCTGATGAGAACACACTGCGTCTTCAGGGAGGAAGCCTCCACTGAATCTTAGCTCCGCCATGCACGTTCCTTATCGAAGATGCAGATAATGGGGATACGACCTCCTATGGTGGTTGTGGGAATTAGGAGAGGTAAGCCATGCAAAGCATTGCACGTACAACAACAGCAACCGCTCTGTGCGAAGCGAGGAGGGCGGTCACTCAAGCCACACTCCATCCAGCACCAGGGGACTCTGGGCATTACATTTAAGACATTTCCTCATTTTGCCTGCAAGCAAAGAATTGTTTTCCAATACCAGGTGTGCTTTTCCTTATGAAAGGAAACGACCCCCTCCCCCATCATCATAGTTGACATGAGAAATTAACTTTTTCCCTGACATGTGTGCACTGGAAGGCAATCTAGAAAACAATGACGGTGCTCTCTACCTGATGCTGTTAGTCTAACATCACATATGCCATATGGCACGTGTTAGTATTCGATAAAGATTCCGGAAGTTTTTCAAACAATGTCTTGTTAGTCCCCTCAAAATCATTTCAAACTGTTAGCTTAAACATTACCTTACGTAGCAGAAGAGAGGTGAGATTTCTGTGCACCCTTGACTCCCCAATGTTTTATATAGATCTGCACCTGAAAGGATTAGCATTTTATGAACAAAAGCCAGCCAGTGCAAGCCCAAGTTATTTAGGGTAGCATGACCCACCAGGACTCGACACATTACTTTGCTAGAATATCCATTCTCTCTCCCTCTCTCAATTCTCAGTGTTCTCTTTCTCTCTTTCCTACATACCCACATGCAATCCTTGCAATGTGAAATGGAATCACCCTCAAAAGATCCAGAAAATGCCTCCAGCAAGACAGAGGCTCTCCTCCATGGTATCCGGTTGCTGTGATGGAGTTTGAAATGTAGACATATTTCACTTTAAAAAGAAGTGGGGGTTGGGCTGGTCAGGGTTTTGTACAGACGTGCAGACTTTCTCTGTGCTCATCAGCCAAACTGCTGTGGCTGAAGGGAGGAGTCGTGCCTGCTGTGAACCGTCCTGGACCCTGCTCCGAGCAGGCGGAAATAACACAGGACTCTACCAAGAGAAGACAGGAGAACATCTAACTAGAAGGGACGTGAGTTAAAGGCTTAAGGTTGCATGAGGAGTATTTAGCTGGGGCAACAATGAACAGGAAACCAGGAAAAACTCTTCCAAGAAAAAAGCAAGCCATTGCAATTTCCTTCATTGAAAAAAAAAAAAGGCAGTTAAAAAAGAAGGAGGAAAATCATGTGTTCATTTGGGAAGCCTGGGAACCCTTAAAATAGAATATAGGGCATGTAAATTAAAACCTTGGCAATGGGACTTAAACAATCACTCGTGTTTATGAGGGGCTGAGCGAATAGTGATTGAGCTTGAGTGCATACAAGAGCCTATTTTAATTTTTTCACCCCACCTTGGTACTCTCTTCGCTGCTGTCACTTTTTTTTTCTTTATGTGCATTTCTTTTAAGTTAGGATCTTCATCTGGATGTGCTGTGGTCCCATGACCATTAGGTTTGCTTTCCCATTCCCTTAAATTAGGGGAGGTGACCTGGAGCCTTGCTCAAACGTGTCATTCGAATGCTGCCTACTCCCCAAGTGGTCCAGGTCTCTGATGGTGTCAGTTGGGTAACTGGTTTCCACCAGGGGTCAGCACTGCTATGTAAGCATCCCTAGATATAAGCAGTAGCAAAAAGATGGTCATCATTACAATTGTATAAATAACTTTTAAAAACTGATTGCAATGTATATGAATGTGTCCCTAAATACTGGCTACATCAGAATTACCTGGAAGCTTTAAAACACATAGACTCCAGGCCCCTGGAAATTCCAGACGTTTGAGTTCCAAGTCCAACAGCCGTCTCTGTGTGTTTTCAGCACCTGGCGCCCGGCCAGTGCCAATCTATAGGGGAGGGGACTCATGACTGACTGTCACATAGTTGAAATGTCAGCCCCTGACGAGGGATTAGGCTTGGGGCATGGCTTGGGAGGACACACGGATGAAGTAAGTGCCTGGGAAGCACATTTAGTCTCAATAGGAAAGAACTTTCTAACAAGCAGAACAATGGAACAATTGATCTCAGGGAGCCAGCGTAATGGAAAATGGGCCAGACTTGGAGTCAGAACACACGAGATTGGACCAGAGGTTTATACAGGGTCAATAAACAGGCCGTGAGTGTGCGGTCTCTCTGCCTTTCTTCAACGGTGTAGACCTCTGATCTCTCACAGCGTTTTTCCAACTGAACCTAACTTTCTTAGCCAGTGGTCCTCACCATGGAGGAATCCGCCCCTCCTCCCAGGGACCCTTGGCAATTTGGAGATTTTGTAGTTCGTCACAGCTAGGGCGGGGAGCTATTGGTATCTAGTGCATAGAGGCCGGGGGGGGGGGGGGTTGACAAATGGTCTGCTTTACACAGGATAACCCTTCACAGGAAAGAGTGATCCTGCCCAAAATGTCTCTAGGGCTAAGCCTGAGAAACCCTTGTCTTGTGGGGGGGGGATCGGAGTTGCAGGGTGAATTCTCAGGACACTTTTTTTTTTTTTAAGTAAACTCTGCCTACAACATGGGGCTCAAACTCATGACCCCGAGATCAAGAGTCTCATACTCTACTGCCTGAGCCAGCCGGGGGCCACAGGGTCAATTCTAATTTCCATCCTACAGACACGGTCTGCTAGCTGGGTGATCCCTGCCTCCTCAGCCTCAGTATCCTTGCCTATAAAATGGGGTGGGTTAGCATTTGCAGACTGTCCAATAGAGAGATCCAACATCACACCCTCTGGCTCCATCAGATTTCTCCTGGGAGCAGACCTGGAGATGAGGATTTGAGAGAAAGGATTTGGGGGTGCGGGGGGGAATCATCCAGGGAAGGGGTGTTCTGCACAGCCAGCTGCCGCAGGGGGCAAGAACACTTGCACCCCTGGGGCAAGGCTGGGAGATGAGGCAAAATACACAGCTCAAGGACGCCTGGGTGGCTCGGTTGAGCGACTGCCTTCGGCTTAGGTCATGATCCTGGAGTCCCTGGATGAGTCACGCATCGGGCTCCCTGCTCGGCGAGGAGCCTGCTTCTCCCTCTAACCCTCCCCCATCTCATGTACTCTCTCTCTCTCTCTCATTCTCGCTCTCTCAAATAAATAAATAAATCTTAAAAAAAAAATACACAGCTCAGAACGATTCCATTCCAGGTTCAGAGGGCTTCCGGAGGATTCCAACACCTCAGCACGGATGCAGAAACCAGCAGCTGGAGGACGCAGATGTGTCTGAGAGAGGTGAGTGATGCCCAACAGCTTCAAGATCCAGGGGAGAAGGTTCCAACTGGTCTAACTTTGTCATAAGCTAGCCCTAGAGGTAGGGCTGGATGATGTGAGAAGCATCCCAGCAAATCATGAGGAGTAGGACTGGGAACTAAAGGAGGGCTGTTGGCTGCACAACAAGCAAGAGTTCTGGATGGCCTTCTTCCCTTTCCTGGCCACCCTGTGTGTACATTCTCTCTTATTTCCGTAAATACAACTTCAAAATGGATACCCATCCTCTCTACGACGGAGGATGGTCTAAGTCTCATTGGCTATCACCTGTGGAGGGAACGGAGGTGTTCCTAACTCAGAACCTCCAGATGAGGTTCCCTGCCTCTCCCTCAGTGGGCACGAGCTCCCCAGCGACCACGGACAAGAACCTGATGAGCTATTTCGTCACTGCTCACGATGCATTGCTGCTCCCCGGGAATGCAAAGTGGGGGCTCCCTGCTTTTCACATGACCTTCCCCAAATTTCTACAAAGGAAGGGTTGCTGACCAGACGAAAGAAGATATGTCCACCATACTTACTTACAGGGGAGACGGTGTAAGAACTCCCCCTTCCAGGGCACTGGGGTGTCATGGCAGAACTTGATGTTCTCGAAACAACCTGGTAACCAACACTCAGGGATGCGTGGGGTTTCCAGTGTGTTTGCTCAGAGTGAAACGTAATTCCATAACTTATGGTCCCTCAACTCTCTGGCAACACAGTGGCTCTGGGTTCATAATCCTCTCTGTCGAATGATTTAGGGTCTGCTTCAACGCCCACTCGTTTGCCAGCCATCGGGGGCAGCCCCTGAATGCCTGGGCGGGGGTTGGTCCAAAACGCCGCCAGCAGGATGGAAGGATTCAGAGCACCCAGCTGTGCGGCCACCACCCACGGACATCCTGCCAAGGCGGCAGGACAGGAATGCGACTCTTCTTGTCGGGGTTTGCCTGGGGCATGAGCACGATGGCTTCCTCCTCCCGCTGAAGAAAGACCACCATCAGAAATTTTATAGTTGGTGGACATGGAAGAATTTCCTTCTGTGTCATTTCAAATCTACATCATGTTACCAGCAAGGGAGGAGAATACGAGTGAAAGAATCCAATCCGTTTGGAAACGGCAAGTGAAGTTATAGTCATTTTATCTTAAAAATAGCGCATGGCTGCCCCCCACACCCACCACAAGGAAAGGAGCCTAAATCATCGGCCTTAGAGAGCGGCTCTCACCAGATGCCCAGGAGCAGCCTCGACGGCCTTGGGAGCATTTTGGAGAGGAGATGCACTGAGCTGTTGGTCGCTATTTTAATTTTTCCCCAAGCCAGGTCTTAAGACAGATTTCGCCCTCAAAGAAATTCTCTTTTATTTTAGAAGCATCTTCCCCTGCAACAGTGTGTAAATCACAATTGGTAATAGCCAGGGGTCATGTCATCCACACGGCCAAGAACGCTTGGAGCTGAGCCATACGCCTGTGATATTAATTACAGGGAGGGATGTCACGCTTGGGAAACGGGTTTAGATAGGAGATTCTGACATTGAAATGTCTAGGAATTTGGGGTCTGTTGGGTAATAACAACAGTCCTCCTAATTTAAAATTTAGTAAATAGGGGCGCCTGGGTGGCTCAGTTGGTTGGGAGTCTGCCTTCGGCTCAGGTCATGATCCCGGGGTCCTGAGATCAAGCCCCGTATTGGGCTCCCTGCTCGGTGGGGAGTGTGCTTCTCCCTCTCCCTCTGCTGCTCCCCCTGCTTGTGCTTTCTCTCACTCTCTCTCCCGTTGTCTATCAAATAAATACATCTTAAAAAAAATTTTTTTTAAATACAATACAATTTAGTAAATAATGGCTTATGGAACCAAATGAATCTATCAGTAAGGAAAAAACTCTCTCACAGTGATTGAACTTGGAGAGTGAGGGTGAGAGGCCACCCCTCAGTTCCAGGGTTCCTGTCAGCACCACCAGGCTCCTGTGACCGTGACCGTGACGAGCCTGACAGCCGCCCTCCCCCAGAGGCAGACATCTCCAAAGCCAGCCGTTCCTTCCACATGGCCAACAGCTGCTTGGAAATGGCACTTTTTAGAGGGACTTAGTGGTCATGAATCATGCTCCGATTTTAGCAACAGCAGTTGACTAGCGTTCAGGAAGGTAATAATGTTTTCCCAACAGATTTCTATTAGGAAAGAATGTTTACCTGGTGGCCCTATTCTGGGATGTGGCACAAAAGGGGAATTCCTTTCATTCTTTCCCCCCATTCCAGGGCGGACTGGATCTGAGAAAGGCATGTTTTCATCTGCAGCTGTGTTGTCATGGTTCGGGGGAAACAGGCGGAGGTATCTGAGTCTCAGTCCAGATGGAAAGCAGCAGGGAGGACGGGGCAGCTCCTGGGCTCCAGCTGGGGGATCGATCGCAGGGAAGCCACATCTCCAGGCTCTGTTGCCCCGTCTGTTTGGGGTGAGAACAGCTCTACCATGCCCCGGGTTCTCTTACAGGTCAAGTGAGGCAGAGCATATGAAACACTTTTGGACATTACAGGGACTATGTCGGGATTATCATTAGTTCATTCGAGAGGAATTTGGACCCTAGGATATGTGTGCATCCATAAAGTTACAGAAGAAAATAAAAGTTCACTCCAGTCATGTTAGCTGACAAAGCTGATAGACACATTCCTTCCCACTCTGAACACATAAGGTACTGGGTAAAGTGTTTTCAAATATGCTTTAAAAATGCATGTCCAGAACGTGAGAAGATATTTGCAAATGTCTTATCAGATGAAGGGCTAGTATCCAAAAATCTATAAAGAACTTATCAAACTCAACACCCAAAGAACAAATAATCCAGACAAGAAAAGGGCAGAAGACATGAACAGACATTTCTCCAAAGAAGACATCCAAATGGCCAACAGACACATGAAAAAGTGCTCAACATCACTTGGCATCAGGGAAATACAAATCAAAACCACAATGAGATACCACCTCACACCAGTCAGGATGACTAAAATTAACAAGACAGGAATGGACAGATGTTGGCGGGGATGCGGAGAAAGGGGAACCCTCCTACACTGTTGGTGGGAATGCAAGCTCGTGCAGCTACTCTGGAAAACAGTATGGAGGTTCCTCAAAAAGTTGAACCCAGCAATTGCACTACTGGGTATTACCCCAAAGATACAAAGGTAGTGATCCGAAGGGGCACCTGCACCCCAGCGTTCATAGCAGCAGTGTCCACAATAGCCAAACTATGGAAAGAGCCTAGATGTCCATCAACAGATGAATAGATAAAGAAGATGTGGTTCATATATACAATGGACTATTACGCAACCATCAAAAAAATGAAATCTTGCCATTTGCAATGATGTGGATGGAACCAGAAGGTATTATGTGAAGTGAAATAAGTCAATCAGAGAAAGACAAGTATCATATGATCTCACTGATATGAGGAATTTGAGAAACAAGGCAGAGGATCATAGGGGAAGAGAGAAAAAATGAAACAAGACAAAACCAGAGAGGGAGACAAACAAACCATAAGAGACTTCTAATCTCAGGAAATAAACTGAGGGTTGCTGGAGTGCGGGGGGTGGGAGGGATGGGGTGGCTGGGTGATGGACACTGGGGAGGGTATGTGTTGTGGTGAGCACTGTGTGTTGTGTAAGAATGATGAATCACAGACCTGTACCCCTGAAACAAATAGTACATTATATGTTAATAATAAAAAATAGATTGTCATAAACAAAACAAAAAAAATGCATGTCCAACCTTGAAAGGAGGGAAGGCCTTAAATAGCATAAAAGGAGAGAATTAGAGACACATTAGTGAGTGAATGAGTTCATGCCACCACAAGCCTGGGGTGTATATCAGATTTGTGTGTAGGCTCTGGAATCCAAAGACTTTGGGGTTTTGATGCACTTGGGGGACAAAAGGTATGTCCTTGGGTTGACAGGACATGAGATCTGGGGCCAGAGTAAATCTACATTTTGGGAAGCCTGAAATTTATATAAACCTGCAGGGAGTATCCTCTTTAAAGAAAAAAATTAAAATTACAAATACAGAATTGGATACAAAAGTAATATTTAAGATGAGAAATCATCAAAAATAAAATTTTAAAAGATGAAAAATAACAAAGTATTTTTAAAATAATGCTAATAATATATTACCAAATAATTTTATAACCGTATCACATAAGAATTATAACAATATAATAATTATGATATAATAGTATTTTAGATGTTATATCAATTAACTTTCTGCAATGCTTTAAAATATTATTTCCTAAAATTCTGGCTCCCTATTTTTTCATTACTTTATATGATACCAATATATTATCCTACTTCTGTAGGAAAGATAAACCATCAATGAAGTTTTTTTTCTAATGTCATGGTTAATTTAAATTTATTTTAATTAGTGATACTCTGATAAAGTTTCTTTTATCTTTACAACCCGTAACTGGCAATGTCGCGTGACTTTTCAGGATTGTTGTCAAATTTGCTTTTCTCTTATATGAGTTGTAAGATCACAAGGCATTTAAATTTTTCTTACTGGGGCGCCTGGGTGGCTCAGTCGGTTAAGCGTCTGCCTTCAGCTCAGGTCATGATCCATAAGTGGCTTTTCCTGGGATCCAGCCCCATGTTGGGCTCCTTGCTCAGTGGGGAGTCTGCTTCTCCTTCTGCTACTCCCCCTGCTTGTGCTCTCTCTCTCTCTCTGTGTCAAATAAGTAAAGAAAATCTTTTAAAAAATAAGTAATTTTTTCTTATTAATAGATGAATCATAAATATTGTTTGAATTGGCGGCCCTTACCCACTGGATGTGATCAATGCCCCGGTCCCTGTAATGGGTTGTAAGTTTTATTTTTGTCTTCTTCAGTGTCTGTATTTCATGTGAAACAGAAGTTTAATCTCTTTTCTCAATCTCTTCATATTATCTATTCCTTTTTGTTAAGTGGTAGCAGCATTATGTCTAAGTACTTGAGCCCCAGGTACTGTGGACTTGGACTCCAAGAAGCAGACAAAGAAAACATTAATGCACTTATGGGGACATGTGTGACAAGGGACAAAGGACCAGGGGCACACACGCACACGCATTCACATGTATGGAGAGAGAGAACACACCAGTATAAATACTGGAAACGGAGATGTTGTTAAAGGAAAAACAGATTGTGGCCACAGTTCCAAAACACCCCAGACCAAGTACTTAGTCACTTAACCAAGGTTTAAACTGTCCCAATTTCCCGGAAATGCTGGCTTTGACCTTAAACAAAACTGCCACAATTGATGGGATAGAGGTGACATGAACGGATCACAAACCGCCTGGTTAGGACATTTGCCAAGAATGACACCTTCCTTTCTAGAGTTGTTAACTAGATCGGCAGCAAGAAAACTCTCCTTTCCTCTCTCCCTCACCCCTTCCCTCTGTTCCTCCCCCCATCCCCTCACCCTATTTCTGTTTTCTTTTGTTGTTTTCAATTATTCAAAGTTCACTGCAGTTTTATTTAGTCATATCAAAACAAGTGGAGAGAAAAACCTGAAGCAGGAGATGAACATAAATTGGGGAAACCTTGCAAAACCACAGAATAATTCTTGGTGCTTGCAGAGACAAAAGCACTGGAAAAGACCCACAGTCTCCCTAATATAGTGAAGGTCGACAACTTCGGGGATCAAAAATGACATTTGCCACTTCTTATCTCTTAGATTCCAAAGACTGCTGTCAATTGTAGTGAGAAGTCAGTTTCTTTTAAACCGGTGTCCTGGGGGCGCCTGGGTGGCTCAGTCGTTAAGCGTCTGCCTTCCGCTCAGGTCATGGTCCCAGGGTCCTGGGATCGAGCCCCACATCGGCTCCCTGCTCAGCGGGAAGCCTGCTTCTCCCTCTCCCGCTCCCCCTGCTTGTGTTCCCTCTCTTGCTGTATCTCTCTCTGTCAAAAAAAAAAAAAAATCTAAACTGGTGTCCTGAAAGAAAAAAAGTGTGCCTGTGTGTCAGTGTGCGTGCGTTTTCAAGAGACCGCTCATGCCACCCGATGTATACAGCTGCTGTCGGTTTTCAGAATCTACTCATAAACATGATCTCATTTAATGCTAAGAGCAATTTTGTGAGATCTGCAGAAAAGGCATCAGCATGGATACCAGGGGAATGAAGAGGAGGAAAGTTTCAGTTAGTCATCTCTTCGAGGGCAGCAGGATGCTTATAGGACAGTAATCTTTATCAGAGTAAAAAGGAAAATAATGAGTCAAATAAAAACAAATTCAAACATGAAGGAAATAACTAATAAGCTGGACTTCATTAAAATTAAAAACGTCTACTCTGCAAAAGAAAATATATGCCAAAAGATACGACAGGCCATAGACTGAAGTAAATACTTGCAAAAGACATATCTGATAAAGGACTGTTATCCAAAATATTAAAAAAAAAAAAACCTCTTAAAACTCAACAAACAACAAAAAACCAACCTGATTAAAAATGAGCCAAAGACCTTAAACAGTCACCTCACTAAAGAAGATAAATAGATGGCAAATAAGCACATGACAAGATGCTCCACGCCGAATGTCATCAGGGAAATGATCACTAGAAACACTGCACATGGGATATCACTACGCATCGATGAGAATGGCCAAAATCCAGAGCAGTGATGACGCCACATGCTGGACAGACGGTGCAACAACAGGAACTCTGGGAATGCGTAAGGGTCCAGCCGCTTTGGAAGACAGTGTGGCATTTCTTACAAAACATATTCTTACCATGCTCTCCAGCAGTTAGTGCTCCTTGGTATTTACCCAAAGGAGTTGAACACGTGTCCACACAAAACCTGCACGCACATATCGCAGCTTTACTCATAAACTCATTATTGCCAATATTCCGAAGCAACCTAGATGTCCTTCAGTAGGTAAATGGGCAAAGAAACATCCTGACAATGGAATATTGTTCAGCAATAAAGAGAAATGAACTGTCAACCAAGCCATAAAAAGCCCATGAAGGAACCTTAAATGCAGGTTATTAAGTAAAAGAAGCCAGTCTGAAAAGGCTACCTACCATATAATTCCCACTACATGACATTCTGGAAAAGGCAAAACCATAGACACAGTAAAAAAATGGACATGTCATGATACGTTGGTCGAAACCCACAGGATGTGCAACGCCAAGCGTGTAAACCGGGGACTTTGGGCAGTAGCGGCGATGGGTCGATGTCGGCTCATCCGTTGTAACAGATGTACCCCTCTGTGGGCTAGTAGGGGAGTCAACGCACCTGTGGGGACAGGGAGTATATGGGAACTCCATGTACTTGCGGCTCAATTTTGCTGTGAACCTAAAACTACCCCCCAAATGAAAGTACTAATTAACAGAAGTAAATGGCAACAGAAGTCCTCCAGATTTCTCGTGAGTTAAGGAGACTTTAATCGCAATCACTAGGGTGGGTTCCATGTTAGTTTTGTGAGAAAACATTTAACGAGTCAATCTTTTACAATCGCTTCTCACAGTGTTAATAGAAAGCCCTGAGTGGAAATCAGAATTCAATCGTCAGGTCAGTGCAAGTTGAAACCCTGAATTGCAGGGTAGCTTAAGTGCTTTACACGTGTCAAAGATCAGCTGATTTAGTTACTGCCTTGGTTGTCTGCCCAGCACAGCAATAACGATGGCTTTATCAGCGGCACCGATATGGGATCATCTTTTCATTCCAGACGTGTGAATCACTTCAGGTATTGGAACAACAACAACACAGTGACTTCTCCCAAAGGAGAGGAATGCAGCATGCCTTAACTCATAGACAATGAGATCGGAAATACTCTCAGTTACACATACATGGAAAACAGCAATCTTACTTGCAGTATTTCTTCGCAAAACCCAGGATAAGCAGGAGAGAACACGCAAAGGTCATACTACTTTCACTTAGGAGAAGATGAATGTGCTAAAATGCACACTTCATGAATGATATCTGTGTCACCTATCCCAGAATATGTTGATTGCAGTCTGAAATGCATGCTCAGTTATCCCAACCGCTTAAAACCTTCAGCATCGCAGATAACCAGAAAATTAACTGTACCCCCAGTACAGCCTTTTTTAAAACTCTGTGGGCACAATGAGAGCCGTAGGATTACAGATTGTTTATAAATGCCTTAACACCATCAAAATTATTATTTTATTTAGAAGATAGCTCTTCCTTACAGACATTTCTTATGTAGAGTCTAATTTCTTCCATTCTCTTGGTTTAATTATTTTATAGGTGAAAACTGAACTAGACTTTTTATTTTTTCAAACAGTTGTTGTCTCTGAAAAATCTTTCCTGTCTCTCGTTACTTCTCTCCTTCAGCACAGCTCAGAAATCCCTGCACGGGGAAGACTTCTAGAACCTCTTCCTGGTAAATAGTCCGCTTGCATTCTCTTCGGTTATGGTCCAGTTTAACTGTCTGAGGTTTGCGTCTTGCCCACTGGACTGTGAGGAACTTGAGGGTAGAGAGCCTGTACTTGGTCTGGTTACTGGCATCGAGAAGATACTCATTACATGTTCGATGAGTAAATGAATGTATGAGTGAGCATTGGGAACAACTTTTTTATTTCTTCAACACATTTCAGATCACAAAAGTGTAAAAAGTTGAGGTAGATCACTTTCTGTAGATGTAGGGGGATTGAACTACTAGCTCAACTTTTCTCGAGCTTAAAGAATGTATCAGTCCCTTTTTTTCACCAAGACTTCTTTGCTTAACTTGAAATATACAGAAAGTTACAAAGCTCATGTCACAAACACCAAAAGTCCCACCACTTAGAATGTTAACCTTTTATCATATTTGTTCCTGGGCACTTTTCAAGTTAAAGATACAAGTAAAGGTCCCTTTCAACAGATACCTTGTGCAGATCATGGACTTTCTGCCTCTTGGCTCCAAGTTCACCCATTTTTGCCTGTTCTGTTTAAGAACGGAGGTGGGTCCTTTATCTATTTGTCCCCTGCCAGCTCCATGCCGCTCTCTCTTCTCTCTGTGTCTCTGCTCTTTGAGCTTTGGCTGCCTTTTCTCCAACAACGATATCTGTCTCTTCAACTCATGGCCCAGAAGTCTGATGCAGGAAGTGAGCTGCGTTAATCGGGGTGCTCACGTCTTTGGTGTCTCTCTGGGATTACTTTCTTTTGTGGCCTGATGCTCAGTATTTTGGGAGCCACTCTTGTTGTTTCAGGCAGAAGGGTAAACCCAGCCCCTTGCTACCCCGTCTTGGCCAGCAGCAGAAGAATAACTTTTCCTAAGTTTTTCATTTAAATGCTTATTAATTTTTTCACTCTATTTTTTTCATAATCGCAACATTTAAGGCTACAAGGTTTCCTATGAATATTTTTTCCACCTCCCCCCAATTTTTGACATGTGGTTCCCTTGCTGTTCATTTTCATGGTTTCTAATTTCTATTTTGTTATATTATTTAATCTAGGGTCTAAAAGGCTTTGAATCATTTTACCATAAAATATGCACAAACTGCAGAGAATAGTACAATGAATCCCCACATACCATTTGCCCAGGTTCAACAGTCACTGAGATTTCCCACATTTGTTTCATGTTATCATTTCCATTTTCCTTTTCCTTTGTTATTTTCAAGAAAATCCTAGACATTGTGTCATTTCCCTCCCACATATTTCAGCCTCTAACATGTAAGAACTTTATCTTCCTTAACCCAATGTTATTATCACACTTAATGAAATCAGCAATAATTCTTCAGAATCATTTTAAAATCAGACCATGATCAAATTCTCCCAAATGTATGAAAAATATCTATACAGATTGTTTATTCAAATTAGGTTGGAATCAAGGTTCACTCATTACACTTGGTTGTTTTGCTTTTTTAGTCCCTTTTAATCAAATGGAATCCCCCCCGCCCTTTCTCCTGCCACGGCTTCTTCAGTAAGTTAGATGAGTTGTCCCATAGAATGTCCCACGTTCTGATTCGTTTCTTTGCTTCCTTGTGATTTTACTTAACTTTCTTCTCCATCCCCTGTATTTCCTCTAGCTCACCCGGGAGAATTGACTAGAGCAGGTTTAACTTTTTTTTTTTTTTGGCAAGAATATGTTACAGTTGGTGCTGTGTTCTTCATATTGAATTACATCAGGAGGCATCTGGTTTCTATTTTTAGTGATGCTAAGATTGATCAAAGGGTTCGGGTGGTGACAGCCCTGATCTCTCCACTATAGCTTTCCACCAAATATTGATCAAGTAATACTATCTTTTGATGATTGTTGCATGACTCAATTATTTCATTAGGGGTGACAAAGTGGTGATTTTCTGATTCCATCATTCCTTACACAATTATTAGCTGGAATTCCTCTGTAAGTAAGAACTTTCTCTCTTCAACTGGGGCTATTTGATTATCCTGAAAGGCAAGACGAGTGCTTAATTCTTTCCTTTTAATTGCCAATTTTCAGAGGAAGAAATTGGTGTCCTGGTACTTCCCGTGATGTCCAATAAGCTGGGTCTCTCTCTGTATCTCTCTCATATATTCAACTCATTAAATGAACTGAATGATTATAAGTTTCTTATTCCCCAATTGTGCCCCTTTGTGAGTTGAGGGCCCCATGGAGCCAGAAGGCTTGCTTCAGTGGTGAAGTGGGAATAACATTTCCCTCAGGGGGCTAGAAGCTACCTTTTCCCATAAAGCTGACATGTTGCTCAGGCCAGGCTGGCTGGATGCCATTTTTTGAGCGAGACTCGTTGGGTCCTTCCCGTCCTGTTCATCACTGAGTCTGGGTTTACCCCCCCTGCCCCTCCCCATGATGGGACTATCAGGTCACATGGTCTCCATGAGTCAGGCGTGCAGTTTCAAAGCCCAAGAGCAAGTCAATAGCAGTTTTCAAAAGGGGTGTGCTTGGTGGTCACACCAGGGAAGTCACAAGTCCCACCCCCCTAGTTTGTGCATTGAGGTGGAGGCTGTGTCCCTCTGCCCATTGGACATATCCATTAGTCACAGTGATATACAGCTCAGAGGAATTGGGAGGGTGAGTCCCTAAGAGTACTGTCACTTCTCTATATCTGCTCTTCCTGATCAGAACCATCCCCTTTGGCACTTATGGGATGGGAAACACAAGCATAGAATGTAAACACCCTACCAAACACCCGGATGTAAAAGCAGCTACATCAGCAGTATTAATTAACTTTATACCTTATTAGAAAAATATAAATTTAAGATACTTGTTGAAAGGGACATTTGCTGGTACCTATTTCTGCTTGGGTCCAATAAAGAGAAAGAAACCACACAGTAATTTAACAAAGAAAGCGAAATGGAAGGAATTATAACTGTGGCAGGGGATTGGAATAATAAGGCACTGGCTAGTAAGAAGAGAACTCTGATGAATATAGAAATAGCAAATATAAGGAGCAGCCCTGACACTGAGAGCTGGGATAAGACTCCCTGCCATGCTCCTCACCCATGAACCGATAGGGCTGAGGTCCAGATTTGTATGAGAAGACACGGCTGGCTGTGGTTTGCTGGATGGCAGAAGACTTGTCCAAGTGTTGTTCTGCTGGTCATACTCGTTGGAAATCTGCCCTAGAGGGTGCCGCAGAAGGCTGTTGGGAGGGAAGGACTGAGCTACAAAACTACCCAAGGGTTCTGGGGGCAGCTGCTGCTGGGTATGGCTGGCGCCAGACCCCCCAGTATGTGCACTGCATGCAGAGCACAGAGAAGCTGCAGGCTCCGTGGGAGCTGGGCCCCAGGGAAGTCTGCCAGACTGCTGGGCCACACCTGAATGAGGGGGCAAAACCCTTTCCTCCTGCACTCTCTACTGACAAAGCTCAGTACCAGTCCAGCGGACAAAGGAAAAATTTATAGAGGAGTCACATACATTTTCAGAGCAGTCAAGAAATGGTGAATTTGGAGCTGAGAGGCAGGAAGTCCAAGATTGGCATACTACATCTGTGGAAAGAGACCTTTAAGTGTATCTCTATCTGGAAGAAAACCTGGGAGCAAATATGATCAAGGCAAAGTTAAAATTTTAAGTGGTGGGACTATTGGTGTTCTGTTCTTTGTAAGACACTAGAATAATTAAATACAAGCCTGGAACGAAAGAACATATTAGCAAAACAAATATCTGATAAAAGACTTATATCCAGTTCTACAAAATGTTCTACAAAATGCAACTCTCAAAACTCAGTAATAAGAAAACAACAAAGTAAAAAATGCACAAAAGACTTGAACACAGTTTACCAAAGAAGATATACTGATAGCAAATAAGCACATGAAAATCTGATCAAAATCACTTGTCATTAATTAAACATAAATTCAAGCCAAGAAATACCATTAAACACTTATGATAATGGGTAAAATTTAAAAGACTGATACTGGGGCGCCTGGGTGGCTCAGTCGGTTAAGCGACTGCCTTCGGCTCAGGTCATGATCCCAGGGTCCTGGGATCGAGCCCCGCATCGGGCTCCCTGCTCGGCGGGAAGCCTGCTTCTCCCTCTCCCACTCCCCCTGCTTGTGTTCCCTTTCTCGCTGTGTCTCTCTCTGTCAAATAAATAAAATCTTAAAAAAAAATGTTGTAAAATCCACCAATAAAAATAACCATTCCTTTAAAAAAACACATAAAAGTGGATGCATTGAATCAGAGGCTATTCATTGCTAAGACACACATTTGTAGCCCAGGAGATCAAGTGGAAGATAGTCTCAAAAACAGGTCTAAAGCATGAAGGGAAGGATGAGAACCGTGGGAGACACATCTAAAAGACCTTCTGTGCAAATATTAGGTTTTCCAGAGGAGACAAAGAGCAAAGAGAGGCGCAATAACAGAATATACACTGAGACCCTTAAACAAGAGAGAGACCCCAATTGTGAATTGAGAGGACTATCCTACTCCACGGAAGCCTGCAGACCTAAATGCGGGCAAGTCCCAGAAAAGCTCTGAACTCCAAGGATAAAGGCAAAACTGAAGAGCTTCCACACTAAAAAATAAACTTACTGAAAAAAAAGATTGAGAATACTATTGAATGTCTCCTCTGTCATCACTTGAGGCTAGGAAACAGATAGTATTTATGAACTGCAGCTAAAAATGGTTGCAACCCAAGATTCCATATCCAGCCAAAGTAGCACCTAACCAGGTGGCAACAGAAACACAGATGGGGGCACACGTGGTTTCCGGGCTGTGTCACTCACACTCCATGTGGTGAACAGACTACAGAACGCTAGGTACAATAAATGATAATGAATTAGAAAATCAACTTCAAGATGGAAAAATATGAAGTGGAGAATACTTTTGAGCTATGACTCTAGGGATACATGGTTAACTCCAAATGGTTGATGATAGATTGTTTAGGTTTCTAGAATTCTGTATAAGTGCTAAATAGGGAATCTTGTAATAGAAAAGGCATTGTGCAAAGAAAACCCTGTCAGTAGGTTGGAAGTAAAATATCCAATTATCTTACCTAAATGATGGTTAGGAAAGGTCTGGGACCCACAGGAAGCAAAGCTATCTGAAGATTTTATCTCACAAGAAGAAATAGAGATAAAAGTAAGAAAGGATAAAAAGAATGTCACAAAGTTAGTACCACCCAGAGATAC